TGTTTAGTCACATCGAATAAGAGTAAATTTGACCACCCTATCAAAGAGTTTTTCTGGGTTGAACTTGAGAGTCTAGACTTTTCTATAGGCTGGTTCAATTTTGGAGGGAAAAAAATGTAGGGGTTGGATTTTAAATCACTCTCTAGGATCACACAATTAATGTATTATTATGGTTATGCAAATCTCCTTGCTCTAGTTTAAAACTCAAAATTCCATGAACAATTAAATTTATTCTTCACTTTCATTGTTCATTTTTCTGTGTATGATATATGAGCTTTATTGAATTCAAGCACGCATGCCACATGCATTCATTGCCTTTGCAGCATTTCTTTAACTATGAACAGTTCATAGTAATAGTTATTGATCCTAGCTAATTATTTTGAAGAACTATGTATGCATATATATATATATACTAATCTCTTATTTCCAAGGAACTAAGTAGTAATTTTGTTGACCTGAGTGGTTTACAAGTTAGGCCCCCTCCTAAGTAAATTCATTTCATGAAAAAGAGCAATTCATGTGACTGAATGTGGTTTTTCAGGTGGCTCATTTGCCTACCTAAGAGTAGAGCTTGGGGACTTTATGGCCTTCATTGCAGCAGGCAACATCCTCCTTGAATATGTCATAGGTGGTGCAGCTGTTGCTCGTTCCTGGACCTCCTACTTCGCCACTCTCTGCAACCACGACTCCAACGATTTTCGGATCGTTGCTCCTGGTTTGAGGGAGAACTACAAGTACCTCGACCCCATTGCTGTTGTTGTGATTATTGGTATATGCTTTCTCGCTGTCCTCAGCACAAAGGGCTCTTCTCGTCTCAACTACATTGCCTCAATTGTTCATGTCATTGTCATTCTCTTCATTATCATAGCCGGCCTCACCAAAGCCGACATCAAGAACTACGAGAAATTTGCCCCTTTTGGCCCCCGAGGCGTCTTCCAGGCATCAGCTGTTCTGTTTTTCGCCTATGTTGGATTTGATGCTGTTTCAACTATGGCTGAAGAAACCAAGAATCCTGGCAAGGACATCCCAATTGGCCTTGTTGGCTCAATGGTCATTACCACATTCGTTTATTGCTTGTTAGCAGTGACTTTATGCCTTATGCAGCCATATGGCAGTATCGATGAACAAGCTCCATTTTCAGTAGCGTTTGAAGCTGTTGGGATGGGATGGGCTAAGTACGTCGTTGCGGCGGGAGCTCTGAAAGGCATGACAAGTGTGTTGCTTGTTGGGGCGGTTGGCCAGGCTCGCTATCTCACTCACATTGCTAGAACTCATATGGTGCCTCCATGGTTTGCCCAAGTTGATGGCAAAACAGGCACCCCTGTCAATGCCACAGTCACCATGCTTACAGCCACTGCAGTCATTGCCTTCTTCTCAAGCCTTGACGTTCTGGCCAGTCTTCTCTCCATCTCCACATTGTTCATCTTCAGCCTTGTCGCGATTGCGCTTCTCGTTCGCCGCTACTATGTCAGCGGCGTCACGACTCAGGCCACCAGGAACAAGTTCATTGCCTGCCTTGTCCTCATAGTTGGTTCTTCAATTGCCACCGCTGTGTATTGGAGTAAAACAGATAAGTGGACTGCCTACGTGGTAACCGCGCCTCTTTGGTTCTTGGGTACGTTGGGGATTTGGATACTTGTCCCACAAGCAAGGAGCCCTAAGCTTTGGGGGGTGCCATTGGTGCCGTGGTTGCCATCTCTGTCAGTTGCCATCAATATTTTCCTACTTGGGTCAATCGATCGTGACTCATTCATAAGGTTTGCAGCGTGGACTTTGATCATCCTGGTTTACTACTTTTTCTTTGGATTGCATGCTTCTTACGACACAGCAAAGGACTCTCTAGCGAGGCGGTTGGAGGCCGGTACAAATCTCGAGTTGAAGAAGGCTGAAGCTGCAGAGGTTTATGCTCCCTCAACAGCAAGAGACTCCGAGTTAGACGGCAAAAGTGGCAGCAATACCTCTGCACATCCTGCTAGTTAAGAAAGTGTTTGTTGAATGTGTGAAAGAAATGTTTGTGTGTGATATTGCTGTTTGACAAGAAGGAAGAAGGAAGGGGTTGGTCCTAAAGATAGGAATATGTTTCTCCTTGACCTCTTTTGCTCGTTGAATCATATCAGTTATGGAGATGATTAGACTTATCTGTATTAGAGATGTGATTTACATGAATGGTGTTCATAAGTATGATTTATACATGTTTAAAATTGTTTCTTCACAGGTTTCTTTCTCCATGAACTTTTTCTTCCAAAGAACTAGAGAGAGACAGGGAGAGATTTGTTTCTTTTGTTTTCCTCCATTAAAATAAAAAAAAACTGAATACATAGATTTCATGTCATATTGTTTTTTTTACATGCAAGAATTTATCTTTATTTATATAGTAAGATTTTGTTACCAAGTAAATAAATAATTTGTATGCTAATTTGGAAGGCAAATATTATTTGATTTACCATGAAATAAATACCCATTGATTGACCAATTAATACAAATATGGTAAATAGTAAATGCAGAGAGTACAGCTAGCCTATCTCTTGCCTTTTCGATTTCTCCAATGTCTTCTTATTTCAACCAGGCAGATTGATTTCTGGGTTTTTTTCTTCTTCTCTAACGCTCCTCAAATCAAACCTCATATTTGGTGTAACCTGCTCTTGCTGCCTACCCTAGCCTAGCCTCCAAAGGGTACGTTTTTATTTTTATTTTTCTGGTACAATTTTGAAGTTAATTATTTTAATGTTTCATCACTGCCCCGGAATCTAAATCTGGTTTTGCGTCCAACTGCATGCAAATCCAGAGCTTTTTCCTGCTCTATGTTTGAATCTAGGTCTAGTTGGTTTTCTTAGTTTTTGAGGTCTCAAGAGGGTGAAAATTTGGGAATTTCTACCAGTCAGCCTTTGAGGTAGATGAAAAGGAAGAAACTACTGCATGCAGTTTGATTTTCTTTCTTCCTCCTCTTCTTCTTCCTCTTCTCAATAAATAATATAACAGTAAACTGTGGAAATTGTCTGATGGCGTAAGTTTGTAGACTCTACATTTTGAGTTCAGTTCAAGAGAGTGGCTGTTTGGATTGGGAATGGCATAGTTAACGGTCAAAATTTGTAATCATGTATACATAAATTTATACACAAGAAATGCAAAGACTATGATCTTAAGCCTTATATACTTAAATTTATTCTTGTTTTTTTCTCTCAGATCCCACACGTTGTTGTTGCTGAGGAGCATGTTGCCTTGTGTCTTTTTTTTTTTTTTTTTGTTGGTCGAAGTTGCCTTGTGTCTTTGTTTCTGTACTTTTTGCTCTTTTTTTACCCTGTGGCCTTGAATCTTTTAATTAAGATGCAGCCCCTTGTTCGTGATTGTCACGTTTGGGTTGTGGATTAACAATTTTGGTTATCCACTGTACATCTTATGATATTTTTTTAATAAAATATATTTCCCAACAAAAAAATAGAAAAGCCTTAGATATGAACACAACTATATAAATTATAATCGTCACATTGATGGATATAACTTGTTTTTTATTTTTGGTTATGGAATTTTTCTATTATCTGAGTTGGCAAATCCTTTATTATCATTATTATTGATACCATTACTTGATACTAGTACTTTTTTAATATACCAAGTTTGAGGGGAAGCAATCCTCGTTAAAATTCCAAGTATTTAAATAAAAGTTGTTTTGGTGGGTTCTCTATCCTGAGGATAGACAAACATACTGGGTTTTTTCTATGGTGGCTCTGTGCTTACATACTGTTGCAAGACATGGCTCTGAAACTTGATATTCTCTCATGGGAGTAAAACAAAGTTTAACTCCCAATTAATTAATTTTCTATTTAAAAACATAGTAAGAAGAAATTGGGGGTGTCAAATTTGAACGATTAGAGCCAATTCAATAACAATTCCCTCATCTAAAACACCTTTATTTTTTTCTTGGTCTTCAAAAAACATAATTTGTATATATACAAAAATGTGGAGAAAATGTCATGAGGATGATAATGTTGTTAGTGTAGGGCATATTTGTGTGAGTGTTTGGGGCATGATTTTCACATTTTATATAGATATTGACAAATCAAGTCCAAAGATGGGTGAGATTTTATGTTTCAACGAAGTTAATGTTATCCCAAAATAATTACGGAAAAGACAGAGAAGATAAAATATTGGAGGAAACTAAAAAAACAGATACGATTTGGAATGTTTATTTCAAATGATTTCATTTGTATATATCATCATTTCAAATAGAAATCAGATAAAAGTTCGGAATGTTTATTTCAAATGATTTATTTGTATATATCATCAATTCAAATTCAATTCAGATACAATTTAGAATGTTTATTTCAATGATTCTAATTCCATTTCTCGTTTGGATAATTAATAGAATCTAATTCCAACTTTTTAATTCTTACTTTTGGCTAAACGGTTAACGGTTAATGAGGATTTAATCTTGTTAGTTGACTGATTCTATTTTAGCATTTGAGATCTTATTTGTTATCTCAGGAAGGATCCGCTGTTCACCCAAACATCTCTCTTTGTTACGGTGGGAATTAACCCTGGAACCAAAAATGATGCACTTATCCATTCCAATGTTTTAGCCTTTTTATTTGTCTTTAAAGATAATTAATTGATCATTAATATATTGCATATATATATATATATATATATATATATATATATATAT